AGAAAAAAATTGCAGACTACAGGAACCAGGAGCACTACTCAGGTGACCCTGAGGACACAGATAAACCTCCAAGTGCTTCAACCACCCTCTAAAAGGATGCAAATTACCAGCTGTCAGCAAGGAATATAAATCCTTCCATTCCCCACTATCCTGTCAGAACTGAAGAAGCTTCTTGGATGAGAAGAGAAACTTCTTCAAAAAAAAAAAACAAGGAAGTATTGTTGCCTTCTGAAGAAAGTTGCAAGAAACCGAAATAGTGAAAGGTTTTTCTTGGTTTGCAAATACCAACTTTTTACACAAAACCATCTTTCTATATTTCACAAGCTTAAGATGGGCAGAAGTTAGGCAACTGAATGACTTGTCTGTAGACCAGCAATGATTCCCGATGCCTAGTTGTTCAACAGCAATAATGGCACATTCCTATCCTTGCCTTGACAGTGGAGTTCTTCCTGAGATCGGTAATCCTTATGTTTTTAGAACTCTACAAATAAATTAAAAATAAAATAATACAAGGATATAGCATGCTTACAGTTTTGATGCTTCCCAAAAGTATTGCGTTCTGTCTTGTTCTGTTTTTTTTAAAAAAAATGGCCTTGCTGATTAGATGATAAACTCATTGGAAAGTACAAAAGCTACATTGAAAAATGGCATTTATTCCCTATTGTTTTAAATGTGATTTAGAGACTTTGAACTCCTCACTGTTTCCTTCCCTTTTATCTTTGGTGCAATAGAGGCTTCGAATTTTACAAAGGCTTTAAGATCTCTTCTATTAAGTCCCATTATTAAGTATTATTCAAATCTCAGTTAAATTGTATTATGCAAATAAATCCTAGAGGATTAAGTGAAATTTCTTTATCGACCACTTTTTTGATGCTGAGTCAGTGGCCACGAAAGAAGGTATTATTTTGTCTGTGACAGGCAATAAGGAGCATAACAGATCAATTTAGCTTTCTTTATAGACCAAAATGTTAACACCCAGGGACCCTAGAAGTAGAAATGTGCTTACATTTCTGAAAACGTTTTAAAGGAAAAAAAGACACATTTATTTAAGAAAGCAGAAATAAATGTTGTTAGAATGTCCTGCTGTCACAGATGTACATGGTGGGGAAGATAGTTAAATAAAAATACTATCTTCCCCACCATGTACATCTGTGACAGCAGGACACTCTAAGATAGTATTTTTATTTATTTATTTATTTGTTTGTTTGTTTGTTTGTTTGCTTTCTTTCTTTCTTTCTTTCTTTCTTTCTTTCTTTCTTTCCTTCCTTCCTTCCTTCCTTCCTTCCTTCCTTCCTTCCTTCCTTCCTTCTTTCTTTCTTTCTTTCTTTCTTTCTTTCTTTCTTTCTTTCTTTCTATAACTGCCCAACAACTCAGGGCAGCTCACCATTGAGAAACACATATTCCAATTAAGATATTTAAAATATTTTAAAACAATAAAAATAGCAATAGCAGTTAGACTTATATACCGCTTCTTAATATCTTTATAGTATTCTCTGAGCGGTTTACACATCTCTGCATATTGCCCCTAACAATCTGGGTCCTCATTTTACCGACCTCAAAAGGATGGAAGGCTGAGTCAACCTTGAGTTGGTCAAGATTGAACTTCTGGCTTGGGGAAGAGTGAGTCTGCAGTACTTCAATCTAACCACTGCACCACCACGACTCTTTCTTTAAAATCATTAAAACATTAAAAAAAAACTATTAAATTCAAGGGCATACAAGCAAGACATCTGACCTGTTAACAATACAGCCAGGAGGCAGGGCCTTGGTGCATGTAGCGCCTGAGGCTGAGAATCATAGCCAGTTATTTAAAGCTTGGTCTTATTACCGTCTTCACTTCTTTGACTGCAAGTTATAACTTATGCCTTGTTAGAATTAAATATAAACTGGGTGAGATATTGTAATACTTCAGGTTCAAGAGAAAGAAAAGCATTTTAAAGGACATTTTTTTATTTATATCCCAAACCTGGCTTATTACACTTTAGACCAGTGGTCCCCAACCCCCGGTCTGCGGACCGGTGCCGGGCCGTGGAGAACCTGGCACCGGGCCGCGCAGCGGCCGGGGGACATGAACGCTGCAGCGCAAAGGCTCCTGGGCCGTGCGCAAAAGCTCCTGGGCCGTGCGCAATGGGCCGTGCGCAAAAGCTCCTGGGCCGTGCCCCCACCCCTGCGCGCGCTCAGCGGGCCGCGGCGATAAAAAGGTTGGGGACCACTGCTTTAGACCACTGATCCATTCAGTATTACGGAGGGTACTGCCACATGTCGAGGAACCCCAGTTTTAAGCTTTCTTCTGTTGAATGTTTGTTGTGTCATTATTATACTGGTGAGTCAGTCGTTACTCATGGCAATATTTTTAGAAGTAGTTTGCCATTGCGTTCTTCTATGTCTGAGAAAGACTGAGACAAAGTCACCCAGCTGACTTCATCTACAAGGCAGAAGTAGAACTAACAGCCTCCATGCTTGTAGGTTGGTGCTTAAGACCTACACTAACTGACTTTCTTTGTTAAATATAGATAACATTTTTTTTTTAAAAAAAACCTCATTGAGACATAAGGTTTACATAGCATGCTTCTGCAATCTTTGTCCGTTTTGACCTTGGCATGTGTTGATCGTTGAATTTTTGATGGATCTGTGAAATTTAGGAGATCTTACATGCTGTCAGTTTGAGTGAAAAATTGCAACCAGTTGAAACGAGTTTGGATTAATTTGCAGGCTTATTTAAATGCCATAATACTATTCCAGAAAGGTTCTGACAGTGTGAAGGCAAACATCTGAAGGGCAGGTTATCACATTAACATCATCTTTATTTCTGTATCATGTATTTTCATTGGCAATTTTTACTCCTCGAAAGGAGAAAATCTTTGTGAATTAATTGAAGACCCATCAAAATTAAATTGAACTGATTTGGATGTTATTAAAGAATAACTAGATTTTACTTCTCCCCCCCTTTCATTTAAATTACTTAAAAGATTGGAAAATATATGTTGGAAAAGATTGAAAGATATGGCTTGAAGCTTAACACCTCGAAAACCAAGATCATGGTTTTCAGCAAACAACTCATTAATTTACCACTGATAAATTCGGAAGGAATACCACTAGAAAAAGTTGAAAGGATCATGTACCTCGGTTTTAATTTACATGAAAGCTGGGACTCAGTGAAGTAAAGACAAGGATAGAGAAAGCTCAAACAGCATTCTTCAAAATGAAAAAGGTCTTGTGCAGTCACGACATAAGCCTAAGATTGAAAATCAGGCTTGTCAGATGTTACATCTTTTCTATCCTGCTCTATGGAGTAGAGAGTTGGTTTCTGACAGAAAACCACTTGAAGAAACTAGAAGCATTTGAAATGTGGATTTACAGATGACTGTTAGTATGAGCTGGGTTAACAAAGTCACAAATGAGGAGGTGATAAGCCGCCTGGGAAAGCAAAGGGAAATCATCAAAGCCATTAAAAAGTGAAAGTTAGACTATTTTGGACATGTGATGCTACACCCAGAAAAATTAACTTAATCCTCCAGGGAAAGATTGAAGGCAAACGAGGTCCAGGCAGAAGAACAACATCATGGCTTCAAAATCTAAGGGACTGGTTTGGACAAAACTCAGCAGCCCTTTTTCATACGGCTGTTGACAAAAATAGGATTGCCAACATGATTGCCAACATGATCGCCAACGTCCGATGACAGATATGGCACAAGAAGAAGAAGAAGAAAAGATTGAAGAAACATTTTTAAGTGCTTCAAAGTTTTCCTGTCTCTGAATGATGTGAGAAAGAGATCGTGGAAACCTTGACGATCCATCTTATCTTTTGAACTGATGTGTTGAAAGGTTAATGAAGATAAATAGTAGTTGTTAAAAAAGGCACCCCTCCCCCCAAAATTTACAACACATTGCAATACATTTCTGCAAACATTTTGTTGGTTGCATGCATAAAATTCCCTCTAAAATACAATACTCTAGAGAAGCATGCATTTTATGAATATTAACCTTGCCCCACTATTTAAGATTTAAAGTCTGTCATTCATTGAAATTGAAGAGATCTCCTTTTATATTATACTCACATTAGGCTGCTGGGGGTTCACAGGGGTTCGGGAGAACCTCTAGCTAAGATTCTGTGCAGTTCCGAGAACCCTAAATCCCACTCCTGGCTGGCCCCACCCACCCCGCCCCTCCCAGGAGTCCTCACACAGCCCATTTTGGATGCAGGTAAGTGCAGGGCGTGCGTGGAGGCTCGGGGAGGGCGAAAAAAGGACCTACCAGAAGTTCAGGAAGTTCCTCCGGAGGACCTCCAGAGCCTGGGGAGGCCATTTTCACCCTCCGGAGGCTCAAGGGAAGTCGATGGAGAGTTTCCTTGAGCGTCCCCTCCATCAGCTGTGGTGCAGGAGGCCGACTACGCCATGCCCACCATGGCCATGCCCACCCACCAACTGGGCAGAGAACCCCTTGCTAAAATTTTTGAAGCCCACCCACCCCGCATTAGAGTGGTTATCTGTAAGAGATTGCATGGGATAAAAATCCCAAGCCAGTTAAAGTATTTATTACAAATATATTATCAACATTTATTTTTAATACATTAATATTTTGTTAGTGTAAGATAGAGTGTGTCTCTAACAAAATTTCATCTTGTAGTATTTTACTAAGAATCTTAAGATGAGAGTCATTCATACCTCAGAAGAAATACTAATGCTCACTTTGGTGGTTCTTTTATAATTTCCATTAAATATACAAGATAATTACATTCCTGAGTATTAATATCAACTTTATACCTATGTTGTATATTAAATGCATACTAATGTTGTAATTAAAAATATAAGAGAGTTGACTATGGCATTTAATGCAGTTAGCATTCCTTTTCTGATCCTTTCATCTGCTTCTTTCTATTTTTGTTGATGCGCCCATTTCACATGGAAGAGAATTTCTGAATAAACAGTATTGATATGACAATGAGCAGGTGAATCCATGCCATTCTAGGTAACTTTTCTCCTTCCCCTTTTGTCTTCCAGTTTGAAAGGCATGACCCTGTAAATGGTCGGATCACAGAACGCCAATTTGGCAGCATGCTGCTGGCTTATAGTGGAGTACAATCCAAAAAATTGACTGTGATGCTGAAGCAACTCAAGAAGCATTTCCAGGATGGAGTGGTTAGTAACTTTTTAGAGCAATATGATGGAAAGGGGCTGGAAAAGTTTATTAAAAATAATAGTTTGCGTCATAAATGTTCCTGACGGTTAGAACAATTAACCAGTGGAAATCTTGTCTCCAGAAGTTGTGGGTGCTCCAACACTGGAGTTTTTAAATAAGAGGTTGGACAACCATTTGTCTGAAATGATATAGCAGGGATGCTTAAATCTAGCCCGTGGGGCTGGCCTGGAAATATCAAAGGTCCGGCTCTGCCAGACAAAATGGGCCACGGGGGACTGCATGCGCCCCCCGCCCCAGCGGCCCATTTTCGTCCTCCCCAAGCGCTATCTGCCTGCCAAAAATGGGCTGCCCAGAAGCCTCCCAGGGCCTCCATGCAGCCCGTTTTTGGCTGGCATAGTGCTGCAGGAGGACTGGATTGGACTGGGTTACAAATAAGTGGCCTCAAGTAAGTGCCTGATCTGGATAGAAAACAAGCAACATCCTATGTTAATACTACAGTTTAATGCCAGATTTTACACACTGTAGGTCCATTTAATTTACAGTCAACACTCTATAATTGACAGCCATTTCTATTTACTATCCTGGAAACTTACCTCTGCTGTTAGATCTTGTATTATCATGTTATTTATGCTATTGTATTTTTATTATTAGTTGAATAATAAAAATACAATAGTATAAATAACTTCTGCCTGGAAAAGCAATTTACTATTAAACAATGGGGTATAAATTTAGAAATAAAAATTTTAGCGGAGTATGAAGAATAAGTAATAAATGTTTGCCCGTAATATCTGGTTGAAGCAATAGGAAAAAATGTATTAAAATGTTATAATAAAGAACTATGAAAAGAAAGAAGAGAAGGGGAAAAATATATCTTGAGCCTGTGTCAAATGCCCACCCTGGCCACGCCTACCATGACCACGCCCACCATGACCATGACCATCCCAGCCACACACACACACACAGCCCTCCAAGGGCAAACACAACCCTGATGCGGCCCTCAATGAAATTGAGTTTGATACCCCTGTGGTATAGGGCAGGGGTGAAATGCTTCCGGTTCAGCCCAATCTGGTAGCGATAGAGGCGGGTGGTTTGGAGAACCGGTAGCAAAAATCCCTGCCACACCCCCCCCCATGCCCAGCTGAGCCGCATAATCATCAGAGGCTTTTTCTTTTAATTTTTAAAAGCATTTTTTCTACAACCTCTTCGGCCGAAAAAATGCTTTTAAAAGTAAAAAAAAAAAAGCCTCTGACGATCGCGCGGCTCAGCTGGGATCATCAAAGGCTTTTGAAAGCATTTTTTCTACAACCTCTTCAGAGGTTGTAGAAAAAATGCTTTTAAAAGCTTCTGACGATCCCAGCTGAGTTGCCTCATCGGCAGAGGCTTTTAAAAGAAAAAAAGCCTCTGCCGATCAGGCAACTCAACTGGGATCGTCAGAGCCTTTTGAAAGCATTTTTTTACAACCTCTTTGCCGAAGAGGTTGTAAAAAAAATGGTTTTAAAAGAAAAAAAAATTGGCCACGCCCACCCAGTCACATTAGCCCCCCACCAAGCCACGTCCATAGAACCGGTAGTAACAAATTTTAGATTTCACCACTGGTATAGGGTCTCCTGCTTGTGCAGGGGGTTGGACTAGAAGACCTCCAAGGGCCCTTCCAACTCTGGTATTCTGTTAAGTTACTGTTGTTGGGATATTCAATGCTAGAAGAAACATTGGCCTATCATTATAAAGAAGTCAGAGGTTAGAAACAAGGAAAAAAACAATCACTTGTAACAATATGCTCATCTGAGATCCTTGATCCCCAGTTTAACCAGGGAAAAGATGTATAATTTATTTCTGTGGCCTTGAGTTAATTGTCATTGTGGCTAGGAAATTTGCAATTTAAATGCACACTTATGCTAGGAAAAAATATTATGGAAACTGGGTTCATAAAGTTGAGAGGAAAAAGATTAATGGCACTGCAGGAATGAAAGCGAGCTAAAAGACCTGCACTGCCCTTTGAATAAACATGCTTGAATTGAAAAGACATCTTTAGTTTGGATTTTAGCAAAGCGTTTGACAAATCAGTTCAAAATAGTTTGATAAGCAAACCAGTTACAGGTTAGTTAGACACATAGCAATTACGTATGTGGGTACATAGCTGGCCTCAAGCCATACTCAAAGACTGCTCTTAAGTTATTCACTAAGCTAGAAGTACATATTTGGAGTGGAGTATCTGAAGGATCACAAATGGAGCTTAGTCTTTCAATATTTTTATTACAAGATTCAGCCAGAGGAATGAAGGAAATAGTGATCAAGGTTGCAGGTAGCATAAATCGGATGGGATGGTTATTATGTGAATAAAACAGAAATAAAATTGAGAATGATTTTGATTGACAGATGAAAATTTCTTCATTTAAGGAACATATAGTGATGATCTGACTTAGTTACAGTACTTGCGAAAAAGATATTGGAGTAATACAGATAATCCTCGAGTTATAACCACAATTGAGCCCCAAATTTCTGCTGCTAAGTGAGACATTTGTTAAGTGAATTTTGCCCCGTTTTACGGCGTTTCTTGCCACAGTTGTTAACTGAGTCATTACTGTTGTCCAGTTAGTAACACCGTTGTTAAGCGAATCTGGCTTCCCCATTGACTTTGCTTGTGAGAAGATCACAACAGGTGAGCCAGGGACCTGCAACCATCGTAAATACATGCCCGTTGCCAAGCATCTAAATTTTGATTACATGAACATGGGGATGCTACAATGGTCGTAAGTGTGAAAAACCATCATAAATCACTTTTTTCAGTGCCGTTATAATTTTGAACTGTCACTAAATGAATGGTTGTAAGTCAAGCATTACTGGCAGTTGATTGCAGGCTGATTGAATCAGCGGTGTCATGTAATCTTCAGAAAGGCAAGTGAAATTTTAGAGTACATCTACAAAAGTATTGCTTCCAATGCATCGGAAGTCATTGTTCCATTTTATTCTGCTTTAGTCAGATACCACATTTAAGAGAAGTGCAGCATAACGATGTGCAGAAAGTTAAGTCTGAAGCAGTTGTTTTAACTATTGTGAATGCTTCAATCTCAAATCAGGCTTGTTCCAAGCTTAAAACACTTCCTGAATCATTGAAAAAGCCCATTTCAAGCTTGAAAAGGTTTGAATTTTCCACACCTCTAATTCAGAAGAACTGTAACTGATTCAGAAAAGGGCAGAAAAGATGGTCAAGAAAACAGAAACTTGAGCCCTGTGAAGAGAGAGGAGTTAGATACTGTATGTTTAGCCTCAATAATAGAAAACCAATGTACTAGAAGGGTGTCACACAGAAGAAATTACAATTTATTGTTTACCAGAGTCAGGATATTAAAATGTTAAAATTAAAAGAAAACAGTTTGTGGTTTGATATTAAGTGGAATACTTCTTGGAGAAAATAGTTTTGTTTTTTTTTCCTATCCTGGCCTAAACCTATTTATTTACACACATATTTTATATTTAGTTTGATATTCTAAATGTCTGTTTTTCTTTTCTGCCCTGAAAATATTTACTTTTCAGTAGCCATGGGAGTGAGTTAGGAGTTGATCTATAAATTTAGAATGAAAGAGAAGGTGAGGGAGAAAAATCATTAAGTACAGTAAAAGTTGAATCCATGAATAGTGTAACCCTAAGCATGTTTATTCAGAAGCAACTCACACCATGTTCAAGTATTCCCAGGAAAAATATGATTGCAGTCTGAGTATTAAAACAAAGGCTGAGAATTAGTCCAAGATGGGTTTTTTTTTGGGGGGGGGTGGGTTTGCATTTCTACTTCAGAGTGACTTTTCACAATGGATTTGTCTGCGCATGGTACCCTGAGGCATCTCTCCATATTGCTGAGTCTGAATTTCTGATATATTGTAGGATACCCACTCAGTTTTTAATTGACCCTCTCACTATTGAAAACATTCTGTCTTTGTATAAATTTTCCCTATAAGGGCAGACTCTTAAGCAGCATCTTGTGACCACCATTTTTTTTAAAAAAAAAATCTCATTAAAGAATCCCCGGAACTCTGCTTGAAAAAACACCCAAAGCAATTCCTTCCTACAGCAAGGTAAAGGTAAAGGTTCCCCTCGCACATATGTGCTAGTCATTCCCGACTCTAGGGGGCAGTGCTCATCTCTGTTTCAAAGCCGAAGAGCCAGCACTGTCCAAAGACGTCTCTGTGGTCATGTGGTCAGCATGACTAAATGCCAAAGGCGCACGGAACACTGTTACCTTCCCACCAAAGGTGGTCCCTATTTTTCCACTTGCATTTTTTACGTGCTTTTGAACTGCTAGGTTGGCAGAAGCTGGGACAAGTAACGGGAACTCACTCCGTTACATGGCACTAGGGATTCAAACAGCAAGAGACACATTGTCTCTCAATTACACAAGTGTCTCTTGCTGCAGGGATTCCTACAGCAAAGAGACGCATTTAACTCCGTAGGTTAACCTCCGTATTATCTAATCACAGTGTGCTCTGAAGTATATATTTGCAAGAAAAGGTAAAGGTATATATTTGACAAGCAAGCATGCCAAACTTACAGGTGCAATAGAAAGGGGCATAAATCAGATTGCTTCCAATTTAACCAACATTGGAGTTTTTTTAAAGATATCTTGGCCCGTAGCTCCAGTTATCAAAATGACTGCCAGCACAAGCTGAATTTGCTGGACTGCTATCAGGCAGTTTGGGGATTATCAGATCAAGCTAGTAGACACTTAGAATGACTGCAATATATCCTTCTATCCAATCTCTCTTAGCCTGAATAGTTTTGCAGTGATATATTCAGGGCAAAAATGGCTTCTTTTAAATCCTGACTGGACAACTCAAATGTTCAGATAAATCAGTTCTCCAGCAAGTCCATTTAACTTTGTAATGCCATTAAAAGTGTTTCTCTGATTCCTAGCAGTTTTCTGTGAACTGTGCTTTATTAATAGCTTGTAAGAAAGATGATCTGCTCTTGAGCAACTTATGTAAGTCATTTTTACCATTGACATGCTCTGTGTGCTTTAGCTGTGAAGATAATGTGAACTCATTCATTATCAGCTAGTACCTGGAAGTCATCCTTGCTATTAAATTTCTGTTCCGGTTGTAAAGGAGTTTAGAGATGGCCTTGAGGAAGATATGAAAGGACTGTAAAAGGAGAAGGAAGAAATACACTAAGTCATTGGTTAGTTGTTGATGATGCAACAATAAATTAGCATTCCTGAAGTCCCTGATGTGTCTTTTTCTTGAACCGGCCTACCTTGAAGGGCTGACGTCAGTCTTGAAAGCCAATCTTGAGTTTCTGTCTGTTTCATCTTTACACCAAACAAAATCAAGGCGGAGTTATCTTGAAATTCTCTCTCACCTTTCTTTCAAATATTGGACTGTGACATCGCTTCTCCAAGTTTCTCCTTTAATGGCATGTTCTTTGCTTCCCCCTTAGCAGTGGTTTCAGTCCAGAATCATCTCTAAATTCCTTTACAGCAGTTAATCCAGATGCCTAAAACTTACTGAAATTGTTGTATTTTCTCTGCTTGGTTTTTTTTTTATCAGAAATTTCCTCTCTTTTGTATAATCACATTTCTCCTTAATTGATACTTTAATATCTTATCCCATGTTTTGATTACAAAGCACAAAGGACAGGACCTATTTTTTTGCTTTGTTTTGCCTCCCAGAATTCTCCATATCTTAAAGTTTCCAAAGTTAAGAAACACTGATTTAGATAATATAGGACCAAACCTAATTTTGCCTTAATTAGAATGTAGAATTCAAGGGGAACTGGACTTAGGTCTCTTATGGAAGGGTAGCAACTCTAAACTGATGATGCATTTGACTCCGCCTTCTGTCTCAGCCTAGACATCTCCTACATCAATTTCAGGAATTCCAATTTTCATGCAAATTACATCAGTCGGGCATTTTTCCCCCTAAAATTAATTGTCGGCAAGAAAATATGATTTTCTTTAAATCAAGGATGGAAAGAAAGTTCAACGTTTTTTCTCTCATCTTGTAGTCCGCTGCTAAAATCCCTACTCTACAATGTACTATCTATTCTTAAAACACTAAGCGCTGTTTCTGTCTCTTCAAGCACAGGTTTTATCCTGCATCCTCTAAAAGTTCAGATTCAACACCTATTTTTTATTTCTCTCTGTGACTCAAGGGCTCCAGGCACTGGTGGGATTCAAAAAATTTTACTACCGGTTCTGTGAGCATGGCTTGGTGGGCGTGGCATGGTTTGGTGGGCATGGCTTGGTGGGTGTGGCAGGGGAAGGATACTGCAAAATCTCCATTCCCACCCCACTCCAGGGGAAGGATACTGTAAATTCTCCATTCCCTCTCCAATCCAGGGGAAGGTTACTGCAAAATCCCCATTTCCTCCTGATCAGCTGGGACTTGGCAGAGAATAGATGGGGGCGGGGCCAGTCAGAGGTGGTATTTACCGATCCTCTGAACTACTCAAAATTTCCACTACCGGTTCTCCAGAACTGGTCAGAACCTGCTGAATACCACCTCTGGCTCCAGGACACGGATTCAAATATATCTTGACTTATCTCCATCATAGATCTTCACTAACCACTGTACAAATAAAGTAATTATTTAGAACTTTGAATATCTTAATCAGACGGTTGCTGTGCTTGTCATTTGGAACACTGATTGGAGAAATAGAATTCCCATATAAAAAAGCAAAACAATGTGGCCTCTTTTTCTAATTGGCATTGCACAACTGACATGCTTACTGGCTATTAATCTTCACAACGCCACAGCAACTGCTCATTTTCATCAAGCAAGGGAAAAATGATTAAATATTTGCATGTCGACAAGGAGACTTATAAATTGCATTATACAGTATCCGAGACAATGAATACAAATCATAGTTCCATACTGGTAGCTTGCTTTGTTAGCACTTGTTTAGAACGTAGTGTTTCTTTAATAGATTTGAATATCCGTAAAAAGGATTCAAGTTTGTGTTCAAATTGTAGAGCAAACTTTTTACTGCTTCCTTCTTGAAAGCTATAAAACTAGATAAGTCATCTACTGCGGAACCTGCTTGCTGAAATTCAGACTTAATTATTCCTGCTTTTGGCTGGATATTTTTTCCTTGAAAAAAAGCTGTTCCAGAAGAATATGTGTGTAGCAAATGTATTTTGTGTTAAACCTGCCTATTCCATTTTTAGCATAATTTAATCTTGCAAGCAACATAGTGCAGTATGGCTGTATATGGCAAATTGATTACAAACTGGGAAATTGCTTTTCTATTCTATCCAGCACAATCAAATGAGTCATTAAAATGTTACTTCTGTTGGGCTTACTAATTTGCTTTTCATTATTTTTTGCCTATTTGCACTTGGTCATTTTCATTTTTAGATTCTCCTATTTTGGCGCCACCATTCTTTTCCTAAGGCAGGTGGCAGGTATCCTTTACATTAAAAATGCACATTTTTGTGGATTTTCTTCCTAGAATAAGCACTTCTGGCAAATGATGTTTCAGTAGTATAAAATGGATCCTGTAGTAAATACCTTCTGATACGTGAAAGCATAAACATGCAAGGGCCGTTAGTTGATATAAAAATGTTTACCAAACAGAATAGAATAGAATAAATTGCTCTTCTATTCCTAATAGAAAATAATATAAGTAGACAGAAAGGATATCTAATCTGGGAGAGATGGGTAGTTAAGAAACATGAAATATAAAATAAATAAGTATATAGCATCCAACCATAGTTAGAATTTTTTTTTTTTAATTTGATTTATATGCCGCCCTTCTCCGGAGACTCAGGGCGGCTTACAGTGCATTAAGCAATAGCCTTCATACTTTTGTATATTTTATACAAAGTCAGCTTATTGCCCCCACAAACTGGGTCCTCAATTTACCTACCTTAGAAAGGATGGAAGGCTGAGTCAACCTTGAGCCTGGCAAGATTTGAACTTACTTTAATTGCAGACAGCTGGTGTTAAATTACAGTACCTTGTCTGCAGAGCTATCCAATTAATTAGGAACAGCAGGTAAGAAACATGCTAGTTCATAGTTCAATCTGTAAATGCTTTGACATACAATAAGCTGACAGCAAAATATTTCAAATTTTCTAGAGGAATAAACAAACTCTTCATTTCCTCCATTGCTAAAAACAAGAGGCCATTTGTATTGATCTGATGGATTGGTAAAATTGGCTAACATTTGAGCTAAGGGGAAGCTGATTATATTGTTATAGTAAAGATGGTGACTATTCCAGAAAAATAGCCCAGATTCATATACCAGAAGAAGATAACTAAGTCAAAAATGGATTGCAAATATAAAATAGTCTGTGTGAATTTACACAATGACAGTTGCCTTGTCTTTGAATTATTATTTTTTTCTCCTTTAAATGTGTTGTTTTCTTCATCTTCACTGCAGGGACTCACATTTGAGGAAGTAGAAAACTTCTTTACATTCCTGAAAAACATAAATGACGTTGATACAGCTTTAAGTTTCTACCACATGGCTGGAGCATCTCTTGATAAAGGTAATCAACATTTTCCCAAAGGAAAATAAAATAATTATATTCACTTTTACCAGATGTTAGAAAGAACAGGTTTTGTGATATTCTGAATATTTAAAAACCCTTCATGAAATGATTCTTCAATTTATTATGAAACAGTTCAACAGTATAACATTTACAATCTATAAGCAGATATCCATCTAACTGACTGTCTAATTCTAGGTAGTTTGCAGTAAATAATATAAGTAGACATTAATGCTCTTTGTCTACAGAAGTACCATATCTCAGCAGAGTCAATCTATACTACTGTGTTAGCTTTCTGTATCCAGTGAATTTTGTATAAAAATGTAAAGGTTCCCCTCACACATATGTGCTAGTCGTTCCCGACTGTAGGGGACGGTGCTCATCTCCGTTTCAAAGCCAAAGAGCCAGCGCTGTCCGAAGACATCTCCGTGGTCATGTGGCCGGCATGACTAAACGCCAAAGGCGCATGGAACGCTGTTTTTGTATATATGGGATATATTTGTATATGGGATATATTTGTGTGTTTAAAAACTGGAAAGTGACTCTACCATATTAATTGGCTGTTGGTGAATATGTACTCCCGAGCTGTGGGGGGGTTTGCACTTATTTTGGCAATAATCCAATTAAGGAAGATATTTTAGAAAGAATCCTCTTATTTTAATTTCTAGGGTTTCAGTACTTGTCACTGGCTTGGTTCTACCTCAGTCTTTAGCTTCTCTGCACCAACTGGCAAACAGGATTACCATAATTGCATTGTAGCTCATGGTAACTTTGTGGATGTCCCCTAAACTCTTTCTCCCTGGTACTCTTTAAGATAAATTAAGGTGGACTGCACTTGAAAAGGATTTTTTTGTAAAGTTTTTTTTTATTTTTTAGACAAACACACATAGAAACATACAATGTATTTTCTTTGAACAGAATATTTGGCCAGTTCACAAATTTAGACAGTGTTTAGTCATTTCACTTAAATGTACAATTTCTATATTTCCTTTTTGTCATATTTATTTTTCATCTATTTTTTTAAGAACCAATATTACCCGTCATTCTCATCTCCAATCTTAACCAAATTCAGTTTTTCCCTTCTATTCTATATTATACCCCTTCCCATTGTTATCTATTTTTATGTCTATCCTCAAATTAGTTAATTATGTAGTGCTACAATTGTTCAATTCTTATAGAAATAATAAACCCGCTTATTTTATAACATACATTTCCTTTGATAATACAGATCCAACATTTTAATATAAATCAGTTATATAACTATCTTTTTTTCCCTTTGTATATTAATCAGCATGAACATGAATATTCCAATTATTTCCATACAATCCAATTTCTTACAAATCAATTATGTTTACATGATAATAAAAAACCAAATAATTTCCCCCATATGTTCCTCCAAACCACAACTTAACCATTTCTGCTTTCACCAAAATATACAATTAAAAATATTTCAATTATTACTAGTTTAACAATTATTACAACTTTAAACTAGTTTCCCTAGTTAAATAAAGCTTTCCCCATATATTACTCATTTTCAAATCTTAAACTCTCCTAATAAACCAAATAGTTTTTCCCCATAAGTTCCTCCAAACCACAACTTAGTCATTTCTGCTTTCATCACAATATACAATTAAAAATATTTCAATCATTACATTTTCACTTGAAAAGGATTTTAGCACAGCATTTGGTATTAAATATTTTGTTTGTTTCTTTCTTTATTAGATTTATGTCTCTTTTGTACACTAGCTCAAGGCAATATACATAATATTCTGTCCTTTTTTTCATCTACATCAGGGATGTCAAACTGAAGGCTCATGGGCTGGATCTGGCCTGCAGGATGCTTAGATCTGGCCCGCGGGGCCGCCCTAGAAACAGCGAAGGACCAGCCCGCGGTGCCTCTGCCAGAGAAAATGGAGCTTGGAAGGCTAGGCGCAACCCTCCTGAGCTCTGTTTTCACTGGCAGTGGATTGCAGGAGGCCATCCCAGCCGAAAACAGAGTTCAGGAGTCTGTTTTTGCTAGCAGAGTGCTTGGGTCACCACAGGCGTCCCTGACACGAGTGATGTCAAGCTGGCCACACCCACCCTGGTCACGCCAAACACAACCCTGATGTGGGCTTCAATGAAATTGAGTTTGATACCCCTGACCTACATCAACCCTCCCAGATAGGTTGTTGATTGGTGCAGAAGTACTATGAGCTTCCGTAGTTAAGGGGGTGTTGAGACCTAGGCCCAAGTAGTTATTACCAGACACAATCAGTCCTAAACAAACATATTTTATTAGAACACCTGAGAATTACTTCATTCTCAGCTTAGTCCAAATTAATTTCAAAACAAATTCTTCATAAACGGGCCTTCGGCCTTATCACCAACCTTTGTCTTATTTGGCACTCTGCCAAAGGCTTTTATTGGCAAAAGTTCAGAAGCAAGAGATGCTGACAAGAAACAAGATGTAGCAACGTTGCTTTCCTACAAAGATCCCAAGAGTCGTTGCTGCTCTTTTAACCCTTCTGGGAGGGGCCGATCATCTCCTGGCCTTACTCCCAAGTCATCCTTTTTGCTTTAGCTGCTCTTGCCTTCTGGCAGCTCTTCGCATGCGTGCACTAGGAACAGCCTCCTCCTGTTCCTCTGCCTCTCTGCTATCCGCTTCTGGAGGCTCTGGAGTCTGCGCATCGCTTCCAGATGGCCCTGGCCCCATCTCTGCCTCCAATGCAGAGCCCTCGTCCGGGCCTTTCCCTGACTCCAGGACTGGCCCATTGTCCTCCCCAGCCTCCTCACTGTCCAACTCCGCTGCCAGCTCCCAGGCTGCTGGCGGACTACAACAGGGGGACTTGAATTTAGATCTCCCCACTCCTTTAACTACTGCACCCCACCGGCTGTTGTCTGTCCCAATTTTGTTTTCTCAGCACCAGGCAGCACCTTATCCTGTCACCAAGTGTGCACAATGTTTGCAATAAACTTCATGCATTTGTGATATCGTATGAAGCACATTCATTCAATTTCGGCACAGAGAAGTCTTGTTTTTCTTATGCCGTAGCATATGCTACAATTTTCCCAAAGCTGCTTCAGACTTTTTCAGACAGTGGAAAGATATCTCACTGAATTATAAAGCAGGCAGATTTTAAATAATATAAATATCATTTGCATAATTCATGGTGTTGCAGCTATTACCTTTTTTTCCTGCCCCAGTTCTATGTGAATGTTCCATGTTGTTGGCCTATCAAGAAAAGACTAATGGAATTACTCTTTTGAACAGGGAATTTTGAGCATTCTAAAAAGGAATCTGGGTCCAGATTAGTTTAGAAACACAATTTTAAATATGTGTGACTAGGCTTAAGTTCAATTTCACACTTCCAGTTGTAATTAAAAATGTTATGAGTTAGAAAGTGAAACACTTAGACTTTTTTCTAAAGGCTTATCCACACATTGTTGTTATTTATTTATTTGCTTGTTTCCCACCTTTATTATTTTATAACTCAAGGCAGCGAACATCTCCAACACACTTTCCTCCTCCTACTTTTCCCTCAACAACAACCCTGCGAGGTGAGTTGGACTGAGAGAGAACAACTGGCCCAAGATCATCTAAATCAAGGGTCTCCAACCTTGGCAACTTTAAGACTTGTGGACTTCAACTCCCAGAATTCCTTAGCCAATTGGCTGAGGAATTCTGGGAGTTGAAGTCCACAAGTCTTAAAGTTGCCAAGGTTGGAGACCTCTGATCTAGATGGCTTTCATGGGTGAGGCAGGAGTTGAACTCATGGTCTCTTGCTTTCTACCTACTATCTTAACTGTTAGACCAAACCGGCTCTCTTAGGTGAAATGGGCAGAATAAAAATCCAATTAATTAATTAATGGCTGTAGGCCAGAGATGCTTTGCTAACTGTTCTTTAAGGACTTAGGCTGATGTGCTGCCTCTATCTCATTCCTTAACCAGAGTTGGAGCAGTGGTGGGTTCCTCCCGGTTCCGCCCAGTTCTGCTGAGCCGGTAGCAGTGACGATATGACATCATCGAACCGGTTCTGCCACCCCCCGCCACCCCGCTTTATTCTTACCTTTTATTTGGCCCCACCCCCAATCTATTGCTGCCTCCTGAGTCCCAGCTGATGGCTAGAGGGAAAAAAACTGTTTAAACTCTTGCTGTGGGGCTTCAAAGGGCCACCCTAGGGCTGATCAATGTTAAAAGAAAACAAATGAGTAGATTGGTGCCTGCAAAAATAAATGGGTAGATCGGTACAGCTCTGCAAGCAGTTAAAAGCCTGGTAGACCAGTACCTCTGCTAAATCCTAAATAATTGTCACATGACCATCAAGCCACGCCCATAAAATAAGCATCGCCCACAGAACCGGTAGTAACAAATTTTAGAACCCACCCCTGAGTTGGAGGCCATCTATATCGGTATGTTTTGGCCTATTTCCATCTTCTCCAAATACAAACTTCGCCATTTCACATGATTTTGATAGCTCAGAGGTGACTGTGGTGATGACAGCACGGTCAGCAGTCCAACTCCTATTGGCTGCTTTCAGCTGTTTCAAGCATATAGCCATCCACTTAGTCAGTGGACATCACCCTTCATGGCCTTATTCACGTTTGCTTTTAGAATGACATGGAACTGTTTTCCACTTTTCTCATATTAAATTTGTTCTCACCCCACCCCAAACAATTCAGGATTTCTTTGTAGCATTCTGGGATTCCACAAAATCACCTTTATATGAGAAAACAAAGATATCCAGGTATATGCATAAACTGAGGAATTAACATGTTTCCCCGAAAATAAGACCCAACTGGAAAATAAGTCCTAGCATGATTTTTCAGGATGCTCATAATATAAACCCTACCCCAAAAATAAGCCCCAGTTAAGATCGTCAGCCAGACGAGTGCATTTAGTATCCTATTTATATTCATGTTTATATAAAGAGTTTTTTTAATGTAGCTTCCATTATGCCTTGCAAATCATTTCTATTTCTGTTGCATTAAGTATCGATCACAGGAATGCCCTATGTTAC